ATAAAGCAGTCATTTATCTTATTTAGTTCAAGATTCCTTTCTGCATAAAGCTGTTTGATACTATTGTTGGAAAGAAATAGGTTTGTATCATCAGCAAACATAATTGGGTTTAACTTTACTGATGCATTATTCAAGTCATTTACCTAAACTAAGAATAAGAGAGGACCAAGTATCGATCCTTGCGGTACTCCACACGGGATTTTAAGTATTCCATATTCCTGATTTATAACATATTGTTTTTTATCCGTGAAGAAACTTTTAATCTAATAGTAGACCTTATTAGTTACTCAATAATGTTTTAACTTTTCTAACAATATACAATGATCAACAGTATCAAAAGCTTTTGAGAGATCGATAAATATACCTAAAGTAAATTTGTTTTCGTTAAAGCCATTATTTATTTGATCAACTAATTCAATACAAGCATGTTCAGTTGAATGATATTTCTGAAATCCAAATTGTTTTGAATATAAGAAATTGGTTTTAGTAAAATAATCAAAGATTCTATTTTAAATTACACGTTTGAATATTTTCGAAAATACAGAAAGCACTAATATAGGCCTGTAGTTGGAAACTTTAGAATGATTATCATTTTTATAAAATGGAAATACTTTTGCTAATTTTAGTACATCAGGAAATACTCCTTGATCTAAAGAAAGTTTTACTATATAAAACAACGGTTTACTAATACTTTTTTTATTTGCAATAAGTATATGACTGGGTATATCGTCAAGTCCCGGCGATTTATTTTTTTTTAACGAGAAAAAAGACGTTCCAAATTCTTTTAATGGTAAGGCAAAATCATACAATGTTTTGTCGTCTGATGGTTTTAGATTATTTTTTAAAAGTATTATAGGTTGGTGACGAGTTTGGTATAGTTTTGTTAGCAAGATCAAGTCCTACATATGTAAAATATTTGTTAAACTCCTCAGATATTTGTTTAGGACATAGTATATCAGCATTTTTGATATTGATTCTTTTCGGTAGCAAAGAAGTTTTATTTTTATTTTTCCCTATTAAATCATTACTCGCCTTATTTTTTAGTATCTAATTTACAATTAGTAATTTGTTTGCTGTAATATATTTTTAGTTTTTTTAAGAAGCTTGGTATAAAAGTATTTGTATGCTTTATAATTTTTTTCATTAACTGTGTTTTTATTTTTTAGAAATTTATTGTATAATTTTTGTTTGGTTTTAGAGCATTTTATCAGAGTTTTATCCATCCATGGATAAGCAAGTGTTTTTGTTTTTATTTCTATTACTTCATTTGGGTACGCTTCATTGAAAATCTTTTGAAATTTATTTAAAAATAAATTACGCGCTTCATTTGCATTTTGACTTTTATAAACGTCACTCCTATTTTCTCTATATAATTTGTGAGGTAGATTGTTTGTATTAATAGTTGAAAGGTTACGTTTTTTTTAAGCTTAAAATTTTAGGTTGATCCTCCGAAATAGCTGTAACATCTTTTATGTTAATATATATCAGGAAATGATCACTTATATCGATCTTAAGTATACCTGCCTCGAATGACGTTTCTAGGCAATTGTTAGTAAAAATATTATCGATGGCAGTGGCAGAAAACTCTTCATTGTTATCTTTCTCTTGAAGCCAATTCTAGCGAAACATATTTTTAATATTTTTGTCTCAGAAATGTCAGATAAACATTTATAACTTTTATTTTATAATTTTTTCTTCTTGATTGTTATAATTGACAACAAAAACTTTTGTAAACTTTTAAAACGGAATTTACATCAATTAAGGGAGGGGTAGTGCCAGCATTTTTTGGTCTTCGAGATATCAAATTTCCAAACATGGAGCAAACTCCAAACATTTATATGTTTATAGTTATGTCAAATAAGGATGCTTTGGAAAAAATTGCGACGATTGAAGCCTGGAAACAAAAAAGCTTTAAAATTTTAGCCCCCCTCCTTCCTGCCCCAAACGTGAGAGCAACAAGTTGATGAAATATTTTTTGAACCATTTCCGCGGTGCTCTGTGATAAGACCGTAAGGACTTCTTGGGGCACCTTAATCAAGTTAAAAAAAAAAAAAAAAAAACTATTTCCAACTAGACTTGTATTTATCAATAAATTTTAAATTTCATAGCAAAATATTTTAGCATTTAAAAAAGTATTACCATATAAAGTTTAACCCCCCCCCCTCTCAATTTTAGGGGGTTGCAAATTTTATATGGTCATAATTTTTGAACGCTGAGAAATTATACTATGAAACTTAAAATTTCTCGATGAACATAAGTCTAGTTAAAAATAGTACAAAAAATATTTCATGCTCTCACGTTTTGGGCAGTGGGACTAAAATTTTAGGACTTTTTTGTTCCCAGACTCAAATCATCGCATTTTTTTCCAAAACATCCTTATTTGACATAAGATATTTCGAAGACCAAAAAACATTAGATATATCGAAAAAACATTAGATATATCGAAAAAACATTAGATATCTCGAAAAAACATTAGATATCTCGAAAAAAACATTAGATATCTCGAAGACCAAAAAATGCTGGCGCCACCCCTGAAATAAGCTCTTACAAAACGGAATTACTAATATTCGAAAAAGTTAACTTGAATGAATTAAAAAGAAAAATATTATTGCAAAAATTAATCTCGTAAAAATTATAGAAAATTATAAATTATAATATAATAATTTAGTCATAGAAAACATTTTTGTTTAAAAGCAAATTTTTATATAATTTTTTCACTAACCCGACGGGCATTTGTGTCTTTTAAACATTAATGTTTAAAAGACGTTTAAAAGACGTTTAAGATACATTTAGATCGTAACTTTTAAAAAGAAATGCCCGTCGGGAAGAAACAGCAAAAAACATACAGAATTTCCGCAAACTTAAAGGATTTTCCGGGAATTCCCGTTGAAAACTAATCTAAAATTATAGACAGAATCTTAAAACACTAAAAGAGTTCTGAAAATATTCTTTAAATATATGCTTATAAAAAAAATCATATACTAATATTTAATAATGGTCTTTTACCCTATATAAAATAGTTAGAGGATCAATCTAATAATGATTATTGCAGCATAAATACCACTTTTTCATATACCTCTATTGTAACAAATTTTTCGTGTCCGTCACTAAAAAAAAAATCTTTTATTCCTAGTGACAGGCATATTTTTATACAAGATTAAAAAAACTTATTCATGAAAGAAAAATTGTCAAAACTTAGGATTAAAAGGTTAGGAAAAAAAAAAAAAAAAGAAGGGCAATGAGAACAATTATTAATTTTTTTTTAATTTAAATTTTGTCTGTTTTTGTAACTAAAGTGTGGTTGACATTGTATAGAATGTTAAACATGTCATAACACACATATTTATCACTATCTTCGCCTAAGACAGGCATTTTTTCTTATAATTTCAGTTATTTGCTTAAGATTAAATTATTAGTTGAAATTTAAAAGGAAATTTTCTTTAAATAAAGAGAACACATTTTTTTTATAGAGGTGAAGAATTTTATATTCAATTGTTATTTAAAAAAGCCATATTTTGGTAAGACAAGTATTAGATCTAACAAGCAAATATAAAAAGGCAATAAGTGGCAAAAAATTTAAGCAATTATTTTACAGAGGCTAAAAAATATAGTCCCACATTTCCTTCATTGCCTTAACCTCATCAAATTCAGTTATCAAAATACATTTTACATGATACTAAAGGTTGAAAGTATTGCAGCATACTCGTTGATTCCCTCTAACTATGGACATCACACTTAAGACATACAGTCACCACCACCATCATCATCATCATCATCATCATCATCATCATCATCATCATCATCATCATCATCATCATCATCATCATCATCACCATCACCATCATCATCATCATCATCATCATCATCATCATCATCATCATCATCATCATCATCATCATCATCATCATCATCATCATCATCATTATCATCATCATCATCATCATCATCATCATCATCATCATCATCATCATCATCATCACTCTTTTTTTTTGTTGCACGAACTCTTTTTTCTTAATTTTGGTAGTTAAGTAGTGGGGAATGTATCTCTTACATATTTATGGTTAATTAAGTAATGGATCTTTTTGCTGGTGCTATTAGTAACTGAAAACACTGATTAAATAACATCATTGCTTAGATGGAATGTAACTGTTCTTATAAAACTATTTTTTGCTTGATTCATAGTGAAGGAACTCTGTAATAATGTGCATAGTAGCCCTCGAAAATGTTTTTTTGATTCAATTCTGTTGTGTTTTTTTGCATATTTCAAAAGCAAGTTTTTCATTTGCTTTTTAAATCTGATTTTTAGCTGATAAATCTAAAGGTTAAAAAAAATGGGTGAGACTAGTAGTAATGTGTAGGAAAATAATATTTTTCTTTTTTGTCAACTCAATAGTATAGTTAATACGGTTGGAAACTATTAAAAAGCAAGGGCACACTATCCAGTTCATGTCATTAGTAGTATAAGCAGTTCCACAGCAACTCGTTACTTTGATTGCAAAAATAGAGGGTGAAAATAGTTAAAACAGATCATTTCAAACAAACATGTTTGTACTACAACTTTTTTTAAATTTGCTACAAATGCATTTGCAAATCTTTGTAAAGGTTTATTGGTGCTATAATCTCTAATAGTTTGTCTAAATCAAGAATTGTATTTATGAATTGAATTTAAAAAATTTAATATTCTTTATAAATTTTAAAAAGTAAATACTCAGGCTATTTTTTTATTATACAATTCAAACAAAATTTATATTGTTTGATTGCAATATATAGTTTTAATTTTGTAAAAATATCTCAAAGTTAAGGATTTTTAGATAAGCTCTTGCTATATTGCAGTTCCTATATAGGGACTTTGCAATTGACAAAAATTTATTTGTATGCAAATAGTTTATTTAAATTTAAAAATTAATTTTATAATTTTTAATTAAATCGAGTGATGCAAATTATACTTTTTTTAAAGGTATATATTGTAAATGTTAGCATGTCACTTTTTTTATTTACAGGTGCTAATAACAATGTTAAGCAGTCATCTTCATCAACTAAAGGTGTGGCAAAGGATATCTTAACTGGTAAAAATTCTTTTTCAAGTTTTTAAACGAGTTTAGTGTTTATAATTTTTTTTTTTAGTTTAAGTTTTTATTAAAAAAATGTGTATCAATTCAGATAAAAGTATTTTTTTGAAAAAAACTTATATACTGCGAATTCATTATAACATTTCACCCAATAAGACAAGCCTTTTCAGGAGATATGTATGGTTGTACACTTTATATAACCACGCATGCGATTTTTTTTTTGATAATTTGTCCATGGTCTTTTGCATATACTGATAGTTTGCATGTTTTAAAAAATGCACTGAATATAGTAGTATTCATAGAATATATAAATAAAGGATAATGAAATAAATAAACTATAGAAAAAAAAAAAAGCATAAAAAGAATATATTTTTTTATTTAGAAGTAACAGATTATAAGCAATAATTTTCAGAGTAATAATTTTTTACCACGTTGATATAACACATAGGTTGATTAATTTTTATTCTCATTTATGAGGTGGGATTGTTATATCAGCATTATACCAGCATCCTACCATTAGTAGGATTTGAACCCACAACCATTTGTTTAATTTGCTTTGAAGACATTAGAAAATATCCAATTTTCAAGTTTTTAAATAATTAAGTTTCGAAGTAGTTAAGCTTGGATTAAATAACTTTAAAACTTTATTTTTTTCTAGACTCTATGTAGTGAAACACTTTTAAATTAAAATAAAAACATATATTATTTAAGCTTTTGTTTTTTATGGTTTATTTTTTATTCATTTTATCATTCGTTAAGATTTTTATTTTTTTAATTTAGTTTTGTATTTTTTTTTTTATTTTTTTAATTTTTTATTTCTCTTTCCATTTTATAGTTTGTTTATTTTTAATTTTAGTTAAAGTTTACATTTCTTTGTTCAGTACATTTATAAACCTTCTAGCTTAAAACATGCAAGGAGCCTTGACCATCTTGTCAAAACAAAATATTATATGCATGTTTATGTATATATATATATATATATATATATATATATATATATATATATATATATATATATATATATATATATATATATATATATATATATATGTATATATATATATATATATACATACATATATATACATATATATATACATGTATATATATATATACATATATATATATACATATATATATATATACATATATATATATATATATATATATATATGTATATATATATATGTATTTATATATGTATATATATACATATATAAATATGTATATATATATGTATATATATATGTATATATATATATATATATATATATATATATATATATATATATATATATATATATATATATATATATATATATATATGTATATATATATGTATGTATATATATATATATGTATATATATATATATGTACTTATATATGTATATATATACATATATAAATATGTATATATATATATATATATATATATATATATATATATATATATATATATATATATATATATATATGTATTTATATATATGTATTTATGTATTTATATATATACATATATAAATATGTATATATATATATATATATATATATATATATATGTATATATATTTATATATATATATATATATATATATATATATATATATATTTATATATATATATATATATATATATATATATATTTATATATATGTATTTATGTATTTATATATATACATATATAAATATGTATATATATATATATATATATATATATATATATATATATATATATATATTTATATATATATATATATATATATATATATATATATATATATATATATATATATATATATATATATATATATATATATATATATTTATATAAAAATATATATATACTAATTCACTTTTCAAATGTAGCATGTAATCAATTCATTCCAGTGCTTGATGTATCTCGAATAAAAAAACAAATCGCTCCATGGATAAAAAATGATCTTAAAACTCTAATTAAAAAAAAGCAAAATCTAAGATACCTGAACTGTGCTTGTAAATGGAAAGATCTTACTTTGTGTAAAGAGTACAAATTGACTTGCAAGTTAGTTAAAAAAGAAATTAAAATAGCTCGTCTTGCATATGAAAATGATTTAGTTAAAAGATCCAAATCGAATCCGAAACTTCTGTATAAATACCTAAACAGCCAATAACTAGTCAAAGAATCAATCAGAGCCTTAAAAACAACTAATGGTAATCTAACTCAGGAACCTAGAGAGATAGCTAATCTTCTCAATAAATGTTTCCAAGATGTTTTCGTAAATGAAAAGGAAGGGGATCTTCCACATTTTACAGTTGAATTTAATGAAAATCACTCAAAGTTTGTTGATCTACATCCAAATGATATCAGCTACGAAATGATATTAGATAAATTAAAAAATCTTAATCAAAATAAAGCATGTGGTCCTGATAATATGCATACATTTCTGCTCAAAAACTGTGCTGAAGCATTTGCAATTCCTCTAACATTAATTTTTAGGGCATCTTTAACTAATAGTCAACTTCCAGTTCAATTTAAATCAGCAAACGTAACGCCCCTATTTAAAAAAGGTGATAAGACTCTTCCCTGCAATTATCGTCCAGTTTCATTGACTTCTGTTCCATGTAAAATTATGGAAAGTATTATTAGAGCTAAAATAGAAGAGTACCTGTATAAAAATAATCTGCTAGCAAAAGAGCAACATGGTTTCGTTAGAAACAAATCTTGTACCACTAATCTTTTAGAAAGCATTGACTACATTTCATCAAGCTTAGATGTTGGTATTCCAGTTGATGTAGTTTTGTTAGATTTTGCTAAAGCCTTTGATACAGTTCCGCACAGGAGACTGTTAGCCAAACTAAAAGCATACGGCTTTGATGGTCTGCTACTTAAATGGATTGCAGCTTTCTTAGAAAACAGAAGACAAAGAGTTGTTCAAGGTAATATCATTTCTGACTGGGTTAAGATTTTTAGTGGTGTACCATAAGGTTCGGTAATTGCAGCACTTTTGTTTGTTTTATACATTAACGACCTTCCAAAAGAATTGCTTAATGTAACCAAACTATATGCTGATGATACAAAACTGCTGTCTCAATTATCATCAGAGCTATGCGCTACTAATCTTCAAAATGATCTAGATACTGTCTACAAATGGTCTCAAACTTGGCTTCTTCTGTTTAACATATCAAAATGTGTAGTTATGCATTATGGCCACAATAACAAAAAGTATTTATATAATTTAAACAGTATTCAATTAACGGAGTCAGATACAGAAAGAGATCTGGGAGTACTTTTTAATACAAACCTAAAATGGAAAAATCAAGTGATTAATGCTTCTAACAAAGCAAATCAAATGCTTGGTCATATCAAAAAATCATTTGTTTGTTTCGATTATAAGTTACTTCGTATGCTTTATATTACTTTTGTTCGTCCATTACTGGAGTTTGCAGTTCCGGTATGGTCTCCATTTCTTAAATCAGATTGTGACTATATCGAAAGAATCCAGCACAAAGCTACTAAACTAGTATCATCAATTAGAAATCTTTCCTATACAAATTGAATCGAAGAGTTAAACTTAACTACTCTAGTGGAAAGGAGACAAAGAGGAGATCTGATACAAATGTATAAAATTATGAATAATATTGATAAACTAGAAAAAGGCATTCGTTTTCCAATAGTTAACAATCGTACACGAGGTCACTGCTTTAAAATTTCTAAGGAAATGACCAAACATAAGCACAGAGAAAACTTCTTCTTTAATCGAGTAGCGAATTTATGGAACTCTCTGCCAGAAGAAATTGTTAAATCGCTTTCAATCAATAACTTTAAAGCAGCAATTGATTGCTGGATGAGCAGCAATCGATCATTTCGGCTGTCAAAGTGTGCCTGATAACACACTCGCTGGCTCTGCCAGTTACAGCGTTTACTACTAACTACTAACTAACTAACTATATATATATATATATATATATATATATATATATATATATATATATATATATATATATATATATATATATATATATATATATATATATATATATATATATATATATATATATATGTATATATATATGTATTTATGTATATACATATATATATATATATACATATATAAATATGTATATATATATATATACATATATATACAAATATATATATATATATATATATATATATATATATATATATATGTATATATATATATATATATATATATATATATATATATATATATATATATATATATATATATATATATATATATTTATATATATATAAAGTTATTAACTTGTTTCATTATTTACTATATGCAGTGGTGGGGTTCAAGATATTTATTAATTAGTTTGCACTCTTAAAACAGGTTCACATTTGTAAAGATAGTTAATACATGTTATGTTACATAAAGTGTTAAAAACTATCTACTGATTTTGAAACTTTTGTTTTTACATTTTTCTGAATTATCATAAAAATTATTATAATCAATCATAAAAATAGGGGAAGCAACTGCAGTAGAGCACATAGCCAGTCCTGCAAACCTAGTGTTTTCTAAAAAGCGGTTTGCAAGAGTTAGTGCTGGGAACATGATTAAGATGATCAATGTTCTGATTTTTATGTAGAAAATACATCACAAAATTTAATTAAAAAATTGACATTTATGTTTATACCATAAAAATGCTAAGAGTTCTCCTAATTTTCTATTGTTATATAAAGTTTTATCGCATGATTTTTTTTAAAATCTGTTTTAGAATTTTAGGTCAACTAAAATACTATAAATTAAAAATATTATAATAAATCTTTATAAAGATAAAATATTTTCAATTGAATCAAAGTTAATTGGCTAATACACTGCAGTAGATAACATGGGATTCAGTTTTCTTTATTGCATCTGCTATTGGTAACAACAATTTTTAAATCACAATGACCAATACTTTGTGAAGATCAGTTTCTTCTAAAACTTTTTTTATTTAATCTGCCATGTACTCATCAAATTGGCTTGATGTTTCTGTAAAATATTTA